GAGATGGAGTCTCACTCTGCCCCCCAGGCTGGAGTACATTGGCATGATCTCGGCTCATTGCAACCTCCGCCTCCCGGGTTCAAGCGATCCTCTCACCTCACCTAACAAGTAGCAGGGATCACAATAGGCATATGCCACCATGCCCTGGTAATTTTTGTATTTTTAGTGGAGATAGGATTTTTGCCATGTTGGCTGGTGTCAAACTCCTAGCCTCAGGCAATCCACCCGCCTTAGTCTCCCGAAGTGCTAGGATTAGAGGTGTGAGCCACTGTGTCTGGTCTATATAGATGTTTTCTATCGTCGTCATTATCATTATATTCTAGGGACATTAGAAAGAGGAGGTGAGAATAGCATGGCTGGCCTGGGCCTCCTGAACCTCTGCTGATAGCCAGGCTCCTTGGCAGCTTAGCCAGTTTTCTCTGAAGGGATCCTCACACTCACACAATGGTTGTGCCATTTCGAGTCCTTAATATAGTCAGTCAGCCTGCCAGTATCCCCAAGGATTTAGGTCACATGGGGGGGGGGTGAGAAGAAAGACAGCCTGGACACCTCTCAGGATGCCAGGATGCAAAGTGTCACTTTCCGTATCTTTGCCTGGCTTCAGGACTGGCCCTCAGCCACATGTCAGTACTTTGTTTTGAAGATTAGATATGAGCCTGTGCTCTACTACTTGCAAGCCATGGGGAGGTGGCTTCACTCCCTGAACCCCAAGTATCCTTGTTTGCAAAATGAAGCTATTGATATCTACCCTGATTGCCTTACAAGGATGCAGTGAGAGTCAAATGTGAACATGGCCAAGAGGACATTCTGCAAGCTATAAAGCTTGCTGGGTGTAGTGCTCTCTCTACACAACCCAAGGAGGCCTTCCTCAGAAATCCATTGTATCCAAGTTCAAGTCCATGATCCCTTATCTGAATACTATAAGACCAGAAATGTTCAGAATCCAGAATGTTTTAGATTTGCAAGGACAATATATTAGGTCTCGGTGAGCTCCAGACAGCTTCCTGTAGTCAAACACTATCTCTCCAGCAGATTCTGTGAAAACTCACACTCTGTGGGACAAATATTTTAAAACACTTCATGTCAGTTTAGGTCAGGTTTTGCCATCTAATGAATTTTGATGTCAAGCTTATGAAAATAATGGATTATCAGAATTTTTTTTGGATCTGGAAACTTCAGATACAGCATGTGGACCTGTGTACTCTGCCATGAATGTCAGGTGAATCTTGTATGTTCTTTCCTGAGAAGGTTTTCATGAGTGATGATGGATTTGTATGCTCTTTTTTTCCAAGAAGGTTTTCCTGAGTGATGATGGATTAGTATGCTTTTTTCCCAAGGAACACAGTTAGCGTTTAATACAAGTCACCAGTGTCTTAACCCAAAGGAGCTATAGTGGGGGCACTTTCGGGCTCCCAGTAGTGCAAGTCAGGGAGCTGCCTAGGAGTAAGAGGACTTGCAACTCTGTCCACCTCCACCCTAAGCCTAGATCCTAGGGCTAAGGACCTTGATAGTGTGATAAGAAGCAGAGCTGAGAAACAGTGAAGCATTTTGGATGAAATGGGAAAAGTGATTTCCCCAGTGAAGGAAGAGTTGATGAAAGTATTAAATAGGAGCTTCATTTCCCTATAGTGATAAACTGAGAGGTGGGGGCAGTGATGAGATAATTTATTGTCTTGAGGGTTAAGAGAAGAGATTGGAACTGATGCATATAATTCAAAACTACCACCAGCCCTGATGTGCATATTTTCCAGCATTTCTATGTAAAATGCCCAAAGTGTAGGGGTTTATCTGGCAGCCCTATTCTCCGTTCCAGCCATCCAGTCAGAGTGTGTGGTACTCAGTACATCCTGCAGGTGATACAGCTCTCAGTGTTGTGAGCTGGTTTCCCTGAGCAGGTAGAGTATATGGGTTGGCCGGGCGCACTGGCTTATGCCTGTAATCCCAGCACTTTGGGAGGCTAAGGCAGGTAGACAACTTGAGGTCAGGAATTTCAGACCAGCCTGGCCAACATGGTGAAACCCCGTCTCTACTAAAAATACAAAAATTAGCCAGGCATGGTGACACATACCTGTAATCCCAGCTACTCAGGGGCTGAGGCACGAGAATCGCTTGAACTCAGGAGGCGGAGGTTGTAGTGAGCCGAGATCCGCCACTGCACTCCAGCCTGGGTGACAGAGCAAGACTCTGTCTCAAAAAAAAAAGAGAGAGAGTATATGGGTTACTACTTGATATGATTAGTGGGATCACAGAGGCCTTTCCAGTCTTCCAACACTTCTCCCCTCTAGTTGCCCTTTGATGTCATGCAAGCCCTTCCCCGAAGGTCCATGGTAAACACCACAGGGAGAGGCAACAAAGGAAGCCATCAGCATCCATGTATCCACCAAGACAAGACTTCAGAAGGAGCTTGGGGAATGCAGAGAGGTCCTCATTGGAGCAGGGGCCACTGTTCAAGAAGGCAGCTTCAGGTCAGCCTCTGCAGCAGGCCCTAGCCGGGGCCTGCAGAGAGGCATGTTAGAAAGGGAGGCAGGGAAGTATCCAGCAGCCACAACCTGGATCAATCACTTCATTCACTAAGTTAGACTTAGTGTTGCTCATGGAGGAGGCAAGGGAGCAGGCGACTGGGTGGAGGGACATCCTAGATGACTCAAGTGAAATGCTCTTCAAGCCAAGTTGCTAGTGTCCACTTGTCTCAAGACACACACACAGGGAAGCCCCCTCCCCTACACTTTTTTCTTCTTCTTTCTTCCCCAGGATGTTCCTCCGCTTTCCCCAGAGTGTCTCTCCCAGAGCAGTTGGGCTTGGAGCTATAAACAACTTTATACTTTTTAAAGTATGTGGTGAAGGAGCAGAAGTGAGCCAAGCCCCTAGGAGAGAAAGTATCTGCTCAGCCCCCTGGTTAGCCCTCTGAAGGGCAGTCAGCTTCATGGAGAAGAACATTCTGGAAATCCTGAGACTGCAGTTTTAGTTCCAGCTTTTGCTGCTAGTTACCTTTGAGGTCTTGGAGAGGTCAGATCCCTTTACCTGGGACTCTTGTGAAAATTGATCAGTTAGTTTAGGTGCTCACTCAAGCAACTACTGAGGACTAATTCTCTGCTTGACAGACTAGTTCAAAGGAAGGCATAACTGGGCAGGCCCTGAAAGCTGGTTAGCATGTGGTAAAATGGGGGTTCTTGCTACATTTGATGGTTACTCCGTACAATGGTGGGGCAGAGACAAGGTAGCATGGCACAGTGGTTAAGAATATGGGCTTTGGTGTCAGTCAGTCCCAGGCTCAAACCCTGATCCCACAGTTTACCAGCTGTATTACATTGGGCAAGTTAACTTTTTTGGGTTTCAGTTTTGTCTTCTTTAAAATGGCATTAGAACAGTTGCCTGCATTTTAGGGCTGTAGATAAGAGAGTCTTTTTTGGGGGGGATAGAGTCTTGCTCTTGTTGCCCAGGCTGGAGGGCAATGCCATAATATCGGATCACTGCAACCTCCGCCTCCCAGGTTCAAGTGATTCTCCTGCCTCAGCATCCTGAATAGCTGAGATTATAGGTGCTTGCCACCACGTCTGGCTAATTTTTGTATTTTTAGTAGAGATGGGGTTTCGCCATGTTGGTCAGGCTGGTCTTGAACTCCTGACCTTGTGATAGGCTCCCTTGGTCTCCCAAAGTGCTGGGATTACAGCTGTGAGCCACCTTGCTGGGCAAGAGAGTCCTTTTAAGATGTTTCACACAACAGTGAGTGCTCTGGGTTATTTGTTGTTATAGTAGTAGTGTTAATAGGCTGCATAAAATGGGATTGAATGCTAATGTTTCCTTCCAGGCACATTTCAGAAAAGCCCAAGCCTTAGCCACCCTAGGCAAGGTGGAGGAGGCACTAAGGGAGTTTCTCTACTGTGTATCCCTTGATGGAAAGAACAAGAGAGCAAGAGCTGAAGCCCAAAGAGTGAGTTGAAATGACATCAGGTCCAGCTGCCTAATGGACCCTCACCTCTCTGTCTTCTCTAGGAAGGGGAGTGAGCGTGCTTGTCTCCCTGGCATTTGGGGTCCTGAGTGGGTGGTTTCCTGGGTTAAGGGGACAAAACGGAGACGGGAGTGCTAACTGATTGCAGAAACACCAGAAACACCATCCTTCTGGTGTGTACGATCAGATTGGGCAGTTCCTACATTTTTGTAGAAGCCTGTGAGGAATGTTCTTGCTTGACTCAGGGTCTGGATTGTCAGTGGGAGAAAAACCAAAATCAAGTACATTCACATGGGGATTGAGGTTCACTGAGGACATTCTGGCTGTTGATGAGAGATCCAGGGTGTGGGGCCGCCTGCCATTACATAACTTTTCTTTGGCTGAATCACAGTTTTCAGCAGCCACACAGGACAGCCAGCCCCTGGGAAGGGACGCTGGTCGTCTCCACCTCCCCTATCACCATACACAGAACTCCAACCTTCAGCTCCTTTGCTAGAAATAAAACACAACTGCCTCACAAATGCTAGTCAGAGACTGTTACAATATAATCCAAACAGTCATTCCAACTCTTGGGTCCCAAGAGAATGTGGTAGTTATAAAAGAAAAATGGCACGAAATGCTGAGAGCATGAGTGAAGACTCAGGCATCTTCAATTCATGGACTTCGTTGTTTATTGTTTTACAATTGACTCTCCTGGTACCTGGCTAATCGGCCTGGAAGTTGGATTCTGACAGTTGGTGGTTGTCTCTGCTCTCCTTATGCCCCAACCCCTATTCCGCCGAGCCCCACGGTTTCTGTCCCAGTGTTGTGTGGCAGAGCAGTGGATGAAGAAAGTGAGCAAGAGACAGAACTGGTTTCTGAAGGCTCTAGAAAGGAATGGTTAGCAAAATCGATGAACTAAAGGAACTGGTTCTGGATTTTCTGTCTCTCACAGAGGATTTTCTTTCTGGGAAGTTGCTTGGAATTGGTTTGAGTATGTGGACAAGGTGTGATTGAGAGGAGTATGCTCGAAGCTGTGGACCCTTCTCCAAATCTCAAATGTAGACCATAGTGTGAGTAATGATAACAATAATAATAGCTAACATTTGTTGACCATTTCCTCTGCACCAGACACTGTGCTAGACACTTTATGTGGAGTATGTAATTTAAACCCCGCTACATTCCTTTGAGGCTAGGTATGGTGATTCATCCTCAGGTTACACATGAGACAGATGAAGCTAGGTCTTGCTGACTTTCCCAAGGTCATGCATCTGGTGATTGATGGGAAAGTATTAGAACCCAAGTCTATCTACTTCCAAAGCCTGGTCTGTTAGCTGCTCCGCCATCCTGCTTCCCATGAGGACATGGCCACAGCTTCAGCACTCACTGGTAGCAATGGAACTTTCCAGTTCCGGGATGAACAAAGGCAGTCAGAAGAAACTTGAATTTGGGGACAGAGTGTGCAAAGGCCAGCAGAGGCAAGTCTCAGACCCAAGGAGGAATGGTTTCTTGACTCCTGTTTGTTCATTTCCCAGTTGGCCTGAGATGTTCTTGGTATCATCAGTTGGGCTGACCTGTCTCTCCAGTCCACTTTTATAGACAAACTGTTGTCATTTCCACAGCTGCCTAATGGCTTTAGGCAAGGCATTGTGTAAAGCTCTGGAGACCCAAAGAGGCATAAGTCACAGTCTTAGCCTTCAAGGAATTTACAATCTTGCATATATTAACATAAATGCCAGATGACGCAAGCGAGCATATGCCCATGATGAGTGTTACAGAGTTCTGAAGTGAGCGTGAGAATTTAGAGGCAAATTTCCACGGAGTGTGATGAGGCCAGGGCAGTGATTAAGAACATCGAGAGTCCTCAGTTGTGTTTATTTACTAAAGCATTCCAGTTTCAGGGCTAAAGATTTGACAGATGGTGCAGGTTCAGTTGGCATTAATAAGCTGTCTTCAAACTCACAGGCCTGTGTTTGTTTTGAATGTTTTTACCTCAGATTCTTTTCCCTCCTTCTTGACCTATTTGGGTCTTTCTAAGACTGAGGCTGAAGTGGAATTGACTTTCATTCATGTGGAATGATCATTCTCACTGAGAGTTGACCCCAGCTTTTGTTTTCCAATGCCATTGAGAAGGCCTAGAGAGAGATCTTAAGTAGTAAAATGAAGAAGGGAACTGCTACTGTTATTTCTGCTTTGTTTCTTTTGATTTCTGCCTTGGACTCCTTTTCCTTCCCACCACCCTCTGCCCTTTCATCCTGGCACCTTGTGATGCTCTGTGGCTGCCATTGAAGAGCATTATGCTCTTTTTGGGAGAATTCCAGGGATACTGCCTCCTCAGAACTGGTTTGGTCCTGTTGGGTCACTCGTTAGGGCTTCTGAGGGCCAACCTTGGCTCCTGTGGAGGAAGGAGCTCTGAAAGCTGACATTTATGGCCCTGGGTGCTGTGAGTACCTCCCCATCTCACTCCTTTGCCACATCATAACTGGAAAGTGTGTTTCTCAGAGCTGAAAGGAAACATAGGCATCAGTCTGAGGACTTTGGGTCTGAATGCTAGGCCTCTCCCTGGGCCCTGGGGTGGATAAGTGTTTTAATTCAATTCCATCCGGTGTGATGAGTATTTATTGGGTATCTGTTATGTGCCCTCTAGAAGCTGGCCACCTGGCAGGAGAGAAAGTCTTACATCTGTGACACCTTTCTAGGATAACATAACATGGTGCCTCTGTTGTTCAAGATGCTGTATTATGGTACACTCTTTACTGCATAGGACAGGACTGGAGTAGTGAGGGAAGGTAGCACTTGAGCTGAGCTTTGAAGGCTGAGCAGGGTTTGGCTTCATGGTGAGTGCTGGCATCTGTAGGAATATCATGAAGAGACTACTGGGGGCCAGAGAATAAATCAAACTGGAGTTTGGGATTCTGTCAAATTTCATTGATCAATTAATACCCTGACTGTGCACCTTCAACACGGGACAGGAGCATGCAGGAGCTGCTGGGTGGTAAGCACTAGAACAGGTTTTTAGATGCAAAGTCACATGCTCTCCTTGTGTTACATGTTTCAGTGTATGGAAACACACACATACACACACAAACACATAATCCTTGCTGGTACAGGGGAAACTTGGGGCAGGAATGTGGACAGTGAATGGTGCAAGCTACATTAGAGTACGTGTCTAACCTCCCAGCTTATCCAATTGCAAGGGAAACCAGCAAGAGACAGAAACTTCCTTGCTCCTAGTACTTGAACTTAACCTAACATCCTCTCGGAAGCAAAGGCCAGAATAGGGGAGGTGATTGGGAGAAGAGGGAGGAAGCTGGAGTTCTGTTTTTCCTAACAATTAACTGCTCAGGTTCCCAGCTCTGAAGGGATTAAAGATCCAGGGGTGATGGTGGGGAGACGAGGAAGCAAAATGGGTAGTGGACAAAAGAAACAGTGAGGATCCTAGAAGACATCTGTAGACTTCTGCCTACTGAGGCATTATAAACTTCAAGTTCCCCAACTGAGGTTTCTCTCCTGACTTCACCTCTCTCTTTCCTCTTAGATGGGTTTTTTAATCCCACTGCAGACATTTCTGTGAAGTGTTAGCATCAGCGTGGTGACTCTTAACGTTGGCTAGGCAACAGAAGCATCTGTAGTGCTGTCTCAAAATCCAGATTCCTGGGCCACACTTCAGACCTGGGGGAGATGAGAGTAGAAAGTAGAGACCTAGATTTTTCATAAGTTCCCCACTTAATTCTGATACCCACTGAAGCGAGGACCCCTGCCCCAGTGTGGTGTGTTGGGGACACTGGTCAAAGGCTTCCTCCCTAGAATTCTGCCCTGCAAGCTGCCCCCCCTGCCCCTCCCCCCTTCACCTGGGCATCTGTAGAAACTTAAGTAGTGAAGTCTTCTGTTTTATGTACCAGCTTCTCCTTAGTTTCTTTTCACCAACTGTCCCGGGGGACTCTCAGGAACATTCTCCCAATATCCTGAAGCTGTTGGCACCTCACCCTAGATTAATGGAAGACGTAGAGTCAGTGACTACTAAAGTTACCAGCCATAATCTGCCAAGGTTGTTACAGGTAAAATTCAACTCACCCAGCTCGCTCATGACACTTCGTTTGGCTTTTTTGGGGGGCAAACGTGGAGAGTGAGCCCTCCCTCTCCTATTTTGGTGCCTGAGAAAGAAGAAACGGAGTCACTAGTGGCTCTGTTTTTGGCAAAGAACCTCCTAAAGATGAAGCTGTGCATTGCAGGCATGGTCTCAGAGTTATTCATTACATTGAAAAAAAGATTTGAATCAGGGTCTCGTTTTGTCACCCAGGCTGGAGTGCAGTGATGTGATCATGGCTTACTGCCTCAGACTCCTGGCCTCAAGAGATCCTCCCTCTTCAACCTCCTGAGTAGCTGGGACTACAAGCATGCACCACCATGCCTGGCTAAGTTTTTGTTTTTTTTTTTTTTTTGGAAGAGATGGAGCTTCACCATTTTTGCCTAGCTGGTCTCAAACTCCTGGCCTCAAGTGATACTCCCAACTTGGCCTTCCAAAGTGCTAGGATATATAGATGTAGATATAGATATATATTTTCAGTTCTTGGTTAGATCCAGCCAAGAGAGAGATTTGACAAAACTAGAAAGGAATTGGCTTACTGCCCCTGGGCCATGCAATTTGGGTGGGTTTATAGGCTTCCGGGCAGAGTCTGGGAAGAGGGCCTGACAGTCTCTCCTTTAGAGCTTTTTGTTTGTTCAAGCTGCTAGCCCTTGAGTGCCAGCACAGATCCTGTGCAAAGACAACTCTGATCCCCAAATGGGTGTAATTTTGTATTCCTGCACTATACCTTATACAGAAGTTAGCTTCCAATACCTATTTGTAACAGAAGAGGAAAGAGATGTTGGGAAAGAATGTGGAGTTGAAGGATGTGGGAGGAAGACAGATATTGGTGCCTTTCTTTGAAAACCAGGAAACAGAACACAGAGAGATGGGCCCCAGGCCCTGGCTGTCTCAGCAGAGGTTAAGTAGGCAGAAGTTGAGATCAGAAGCCCAGACTCCAAGGCAGAGTTTAGCACTGAATGTCTGGGCACCTTTAAGGGAGCAGTTTTCCCTCCATTCATGCTCGATGTTCTCCTGTGTATAAGCCCTGGGCTTTCATAAGGACTAAAATGCAGGTGTGTCCAACTTTTCTTTAAAAAAAGGCAGAACTGGCCGGGCGCGGTGGCTCAAGCCTGTAATCCCAG